TGGACCATGTTGCTAGGCAGGGAAAAGTAAATGATGGCTGAGGAAGGAGAAATGGAGAAGGCTCAGTACATAGAAATAGACACAAAAAGCAGAATAAAAAGTTCATATCAGTTTTAGAGATGCCACATCAGAGAATGGGGAGGGAAAGCAACACTGCAGTATGGGGATATTCAGCTTTCTTTGGGGGCCTAGTGCATCAGCCTTGGGAGAAGATAATACGGAACTCAACAGAATTATTTAACCTACTTTCTGAGACCTAGAATCTATAGAACTATATTTTTTTCTTCTTTTTTGTAGGTGATAGCCGAATGCTTTTCTTTAATTTTAAGGAAAATTTTCTTGTGAACATATCACTTTTCCCTTTAGGTGGAGGTAAAGCAAGGGCAGCATTTTTGACCTAACTTGGGTTAGAAGTTTAAGAAGGCGTGTGAGCTAGGGATGGTGGTATATATCAACACTTCCAGTACTTGGGAGGTGGAGGCAGGAAGATTTCAAATTTGACGCAAGTCTGGGCTGCACAGCAAGACGTTGTCTCAAAAAACCCAAAATAGAACAAAACAATAGCAACAAAGGAAGAAGGAGAAGATGCTGAAGAAGATGAAGAAGTGTGTTTGGCCATGGGCTGGAACAAGTGAAGGAACCCAAACATCACTAGAGAGAAGGTTTGAACTGACTTCAATAATGATAATGTGTTTTTGTTGTTGCTCATACTTCAGAGGATTGATCTTCTTTCCTCTGTAAGAAAGGAGGCCATTCCAGCCCACCAATCATATAGACCAAATTGATTTCCAATTCTGTAGGTGTTGAACTCAAAACCCATCCCATTTTTCTTTTTTTGCCTCTAACCTCATCCTACCCAAGAGAGTAACTTTTATTGACCTTAGAAGCAGACACTTCCATGAGGGCAGAAGAAAAGCCTGCATCTGTATTGCCCAGTATGGTAGCCTGTAGCCATTTAAGTTAAAAATGAAATTCACTAAAATAACATAAAAGTTTGTTCCTGAGGAACACTCTACATTTCAAGTGCTCAAATGGCTGCCCAGGCTGGAGGCTACTCTATAAGACAGTGCTTGATGTTTCTATCATTGCAGAGAGTGCTTTTGGACAGAAGTCTGGGTCCTCGTGCATAGCCCTGAATGGATAGATTTAAAAGCTGTCTTCAGCCACATAATCTTCTCCTTGATGACAGGGACTCTCTCTGGCTTTTATAGCTTCTTGTGCAGCCAGCAAAATGATGATGATGACAGTGACCCAAGTTTATTTAGTACTTGACATGTGCTAAACAGTGTACTGAAGGTTTTAAATAAATATTATGTCATTTAATTATCACAATCCTGAAGAAGTCCTCAGAAACAGGTTCAGAGAAATTGTGATTACACAATTATCAGGTTATACCAGATAAAATTGCCAATATTCCACTGTTTTTAATGAAAATGGCAATTTCAAATGGTTCAACTTTACAGTAAGTGGCAGAGCCATGTTTAAAATCTAGACCAAGTTCAGTGTGGCTAAACCTCTGTAAGTGACCACCTTGAAACCTACTTCACAGGGCAATTGAAGGATTAAGTGAAATAATGTTGGTTCTGCACCTGGTGCACAGTGAAGCTCATAAAATGTTCTTTTTGTTTTAATGCCATTCCACCTGCAGTCTTACTCGCTGCAGAGACAGGGCACAGCTGTCTGGGCAGATGTGGTCAGTGAGACAAGGAGGAGGCCTGTTGCCAATTGCTACATCTCAATTCAGGAACCTGGAAAATTTTATCTTTGTCGCCAAGACGTCTCCCAACCCTCCCCCCATCTGTCTCCACTCCTTTCTCTCAGGGTGTCTCTTCTGCTGGACATTCCCTCTGGGCCCCAAGCAGAGAGAGAGAAGATGAACATTGGGCCTTTCTAGTCCCTGTGTCCCTTGACAGCCCCAGAATCTGCACCTCACTTAATAAATCCTTCTCCTTGGCAGTGGCAGAAGGAACTAGATGGCTGGAGGTTTTTTGGAAGAGTGGTTGCTATGTTGAGTGCATCAGATGGTTATATGAGCTGTGCTCTGGACCTCCTGCATGGTTTAACTCTGTTAGCATGATTGTATCTGGCAAGGAGATTAATTTAAAATTCCTTTCCTTTTTTTTTGGCGGTACTGGAGTTTGAATTCTGGGTCTCATGCCTGCTAGGCAGGTGCTCCATCACATGATCCATTGCCACAGTCCTTTGCATTGCACTTTTTAAAGTTTTATTTTTCAGATGGGGTCTCACATTTTTATCTGGGGCTGCCTGGGGCTGGCCTCTGATCACAATCCTCCTTATGGACTTCCATGTAGCTAGGACCATAGGTGCACACCATCATGTTTGCTTACTGGTTGAGAAGGGGGTCTCACTAACTTTTTTGCCCAGGCTGCCCTCAAATTGCCATCCTCCTCATCTCTGCTTCCTGAGTAGCTGGGCTTACAGGCATGAGCCACCACATCTGGTTTTAAATTTCTCTTTCTGTTGGCAAGAAAGAAGCCAAATCTCTCTTGGTGGAGGGCCCTGCTGTTTGGGTGGGGTTTTAAGACTTGGTGGCAATGTCCATCCACATAAGGAAACCTTGCCTCTAAAAATCAATAGGTCAGGATTGGCAGATTTAGCAAAGGAAAATTTTTTGCAGGACACATAACTTTGAATTTCAGAATAAATAGTTTTTAGAAGTATATACCATGCAAAAATTGGAACATGTTTCCACTAAAAATTATTGTTCACCTGAAATTCAAATCCACTTGGTACTACAAATTGAATGGATCCCCTCCAAAATTCAAGTGCTGTCAAGGTGGGGCATTTAAGATCTGACCATAGGCTCCTTCCTTTGAAGGGAAGCAAGGCCTTATAAAAGGGATTTCCAAAGGGTTAGGTGAGCTTGACCTTTGCCATGTTAGGACACAATCGTCTTCTCTGGAGGATGTAGCAATAGGGCATCCTATTAGGAACAGCCCACACCCAACAACTGAATATGTTAGCATCTTGATTTTGGATTTCCAGTCTCCAGAACTATGAGAAATATATTTCTGTTCTTTATCAATTACTCAGTCAGCATTCTGTTACAGCAGCACTAAACAGCTAAGATGCTTTGGCCTTCTGGATTTTATTTAGCAACTTTACAATGGTAGCACTTCTGTCTACCCTTCAGATGCCAGGTCACTTTTGTTGATGTTAAGAATGCTTGGGAGCAAGAGGCAGCGGTGGTGGGGGGGGAGTGCTGGGGGGGTGCAATAGCCAGCTGCAGACTGTTTTCATAATCATAGCTCCTCATGGAAGGGGCAGAGGGAAGTGCTGTAAAACTACAGCTCTCAAAATGTGCTCCTTCCCTGGAATCAGCAGCATCAGTGTCACCTGGAACTTGTTAGAAGTGCAAATCCTCATGTGCCACTCGCCACATGTACCTACTGTCTTAGATACTTTGGAGCAAGCCCAGCACTCTGCAGGTGATGCCAGAAGTTTAGAGCCCTATGGATCAGACAGACCTGGGTTTGAAGCCCAGCCCCACCGTTTACTGGCTGTGCAAATGTAGTTTCCATTTCTTCTTATATCAAAAAAGGAATATAACCTCTTATTTAGGGAAGTATTATGGGGTTAAACAAAGTTATATGCTACACATACAATCCACAATGCTTATCAGTGTAAGACACACAATGACTCTTAGCTATGACACAGGTGTAGGTCTTATCATGCCCTAAGATGAATTTAAGGATCATCTTGGTAAGCTACAGTTATGGGGCAAACCTTTAACTTCAAGACTTACATTTCCAATAGCTGTATAGAGGGAGAAAGTTATTAAGAGGAAAAGCCTCAGGGAGAGAAATGACTGGCCTCCTGAGGGCACTGGTTTCCCAGTTCAGAGTAGAGGCCCTGTGATCAGCACTTGGCTCAGAGCAATTGTTCAAAAGCCAGGTGTAGATTTTTCCCCTTTTGTGGAAAGGAGGCCTGAGAAGTGAGGATAGTGTGTGTGGGGGTGTGGGGGTGTCCTTTTTTAAGGAGGGGGGATTTAACACAGGCATGTTTCACAGGTTCAGTTGGGGATCCCAACTGTCTAGACCAAAATTTTTCAACTTTGGCATTAGACATTTTGGATCAGATAATTTGTTGTTTGGGGGCTGTTCTATGCATTATAGGGTGTGTAGAAGCATCTCAAGTCTCTACCTACTAGATGCCAGGAGCCCCCTTCTTCTCCCAGTAGTTAAAATCAAAAGCATCGTTAGACATTGCCAATGTTTCCTGTGGAACAAAACGACCTGTGGTTGAAAACCACTGGTCTAGAGAATCTGTTAGATAACACTCAAATAATTTTTACAGCTATCACTTATTGAACACTTACATATATTGCCTCTATTTCCCATTTTTATATTACCAGGTAGTTATTATTACGTACATTTTAAAATTGAGGGACTAGCAGAGTGGCTCAAGTGGGAGAGTGCCTGGGAAGCAAGTGTGAGATCCTGAATTCAAACCACAGTGTGACTAAAAAATAAATAATAAATAAATAAATAAAAATTGAGGAAATGGCGGATCAGAGGGTTAAAGTAACTTGTCTCAAACCATACAGCTGGGAGATCTGGAATTCTGGCAGAGAGATTGGTCTGACTCCAAAGTCCATTTAGATCCTGCTGTAGCATTCCATCTCTCTGAACAATGAAGACTTTTTCTTTAAATTAAGGAAATTCTTCTCAAGTCAACTCTAATTCAAGTCATCTCCACGGGAGCTGGGAGACAAATCCATGATGTTGTTCCTGTCAAGCCATTTACAGTATCAGCACTTGGGAAGGTTAGGCTTTCACACGCAACACAGCTAAAGAGGAATATAAGGCATTCTCAGTTTGGGCCAAAGTGAGCATTTCTAGAAGTCGGACTTTGTGAACCGAAGGCCCATGGTGTACGTCCCCTTCACATGTCTTTTGCTGCCAATTGTGATTAAAAATCACTTTTTAAAAGGAGCAGTGACGTTCATGGGATCTACCAGCCACATGTCCTAAGAAATACTAATTCTCTTGCCTTGTGGTGGGCTGAGTGTTTCTTCTAGTCAAACACTCAGTCATCTTCTTTCTGGCTCTCTGCATGAACTTCACCTTTCCCCTCTCCTTGCGTATGGCAGTGTACTCGTAAGTTTTGAGCTTGCTGTAATAATCGGAGAACTTGTTGTAAAGGATAGAAATGGGCATCCCATTGAGAATGATCCCAAAAGCAATGCAGAGGAAGGCAAAAAGCCTCCCCAGGTGGGTCTCTGGGTACATGTCTCCATAGCCCACAGTGGAGATGCTCACCTGCATAGGAGGGAAAACAGGATGGAGTCATTAGCACAGTGAAGGCGGAGGAAGAGAGAGAGAGAGAGAGAAAGAGAACAAAGCAGGTAGGGAAGTGTCCTGGGTCTCCCTGCAGTGCACAGAGGAAGTAGAAGAGCTCCGCATGGAGCCAGCTTGAGAAGGTACTAGAACATCTGTCTGCAGGATTGTGTCATGGAAAGAATGCAAGCTGTGGAGCTTAAAAACTGGTTTAAATCCCATTTATGATTCATAAATGTTCTTATATGCAGCATGGGGGAAATAATACCTACATTAAAAGGCTGTTGAAAAGAATTTAAGATAATATGAGTTCCTGGTATAGAATGTGTTCAGTAATTGTTGGTTTTTGTTTCTCCCCTTCTCCCACCTGGGGCCAGTGTTAGGACATGAGTTCCCTGGACTTTCCTGTGTCATGTATGTATTAGAAAGAGCTTGCACTTAGATACAGAGGGAACAGGGTTCGAGTCCAGACTCTGATTCTTCCCAGCTGAGAGACCTTGGACAAAAAACATCCATACTCTTGGGCCCTTGATTTCTTCATCTAAAATAGGAGAATACCACCTAGCTATGGGAAATCGTGTGAAGACTAAATTAAAAAATGACATAAAGCACTGAAGACGGGCAGGCACAAAGCATTAAACCCCTCCATTGTCTTTCTCTCATTTTTAAAAGGGAGATAATTATAACACTTCTCAGAGATGTTTTATAGTTCAATTGAGATTTTTTAATGAAGATGCTTTAATTGCAAATGTCTGCAAAAACACACTCTCATTGTTTTGTAAAGGGACTTTTAAAAGACATCACCCACCAAAAATATGTTCACTCCATCATTCCTGTCACACTGCTTTAAATCCCACTAATCAGAGATTTATTTAGGTTAACAAGTTTCTGTTTAAAAATGCAGATACACATGAGACAAGTTATCAGTTAGTATAGCCAGAGAAAACTCTAGGGAAATCCCCTCGGGACTGTTTTTTTTATGCCTCATAAAAAACTTGGTCCCCAGACTGTTGGCTAAGTTATTAGAAGCCTCTGAAGCAGAGCTGTTGTTACAGTTGTAAACATTTCATCACACAACTCCAGGGGGCACTCCTTGCTTCATGGATTTGTGCAGCTACTGCCCCAACCTTCCAGCAGGTGGCAATAATCATACAGTCACCCCGCTGAGGTGGCCTTTAGTTCAAAAATGGAAACACTTTTGTTTTGATGATGCAAGTTAGTTTGAACTAACAAGTATGGTTGATTGACTAGAATGAAATGGAGAAATGAGCCAGCTGGGCAGATCTGGTGGAGCTGATAAGAACCACAAAAAGTGAAAGGTGCACCTCCTGTTTGGGGCGGATGAGGCACCAGGCTCACTGCTCCTTCTCTGGAGAGACAGCAGCTGGGAGAGGGGGTTTGCCTTTCACCACAGTGGAAGAACACAAGCAAGCATGAAAGAAGCAGGGTAGTATAGACAGGGTTAAGGAAATAGGTAGCACACTAGACTTCTGGGATCTGAATCCATTTTTTAGCTGTGTGAGTTAGGCAAATCATCTAAACTCTCTTTGCTTCCATTTCTATTTTTGACATATTGTCATAGGAATTGAAGAAATACCTGGCACAGGTACGTGAACAATAATGTTTGTGCATATATCATGTAGGAAACCCCATTTATTGAGTACACATTCCACTACGTTACATATGTTATACTTATTAGACCCACAGGCTGTGCAACAGGCTCCTTCTTGACTTCTGCTAAATGCTAGATGAGAGAGATTGGGGAGGGACACAAGCTGGCTCTGGTAGAGAGTGCCCTTTCCTCTAGTCAAAAGGGTGAGGAGAGCACTGATGAAGTTATATCTGGGTTCATCTCAATATCTGCATATGCTTATGCCTTCTATGTTGTCACTGGTTATAGCAAAAGTGAAAGAACCTAGCTAGGCATGGTGGTTTACATCTGTAATCCCAACACTTGGGAGGCAAAGGTTGGAAGATCTCGAGTTCCAATCTACATGGCCAGACACTGTCCCAAAAAAAAAAAAAAAAGTTGAAAGACCCTGAATCAGACCTTTGCCCAGGTGTGTGAACTAAGTCACAGCTTTCATCTGCCACTAACACCATCACTCATTCTGGTATGAATTAATATTGAGTCAGTTGATCTTCCCTGGAGGCAGGTGAAGAGAGTTTAGACATAGAGGTGAGTGGCAAGAAGGGATGGTCTTAGAACATAAAGCATCTGAAAGTCCAATGAGAAGACCTCACAAGAAACCAGCCACTGATGGCTCCTGGATGTGGGGGAGGACACAGAGGAAGGAAAACCAAGACCAAGTGCTGATTTTAAGCTTTTGATTAATCCCACACTGTCTTTACTTCATACCCAAACCCAACTTCTTTGTGGTTTTATTTATTTATTTATTTTGGCTGAACTTTGAGTTAAAAGTCAAAAGTAAAGAGAATCGACTTAAAGAAGAGTAAATATTTGATGTACACAATAATTTTGTGTACCTTGGATCTCTAATTTTAGAAGCTGGTCTGTAAGAAATTTTTTGAAATGTACCGTTAATTGATGTGTTGTCTGTTTTATGAATAACTTGAATTAATACACGATCTCTTTTTTATTCCTTGGCTCTGGGAGGAATTCAGGATTCCTTGGCTTTGGGGAACTGTTTCTGTAGTTTGCATAGGCCGAACCATTCCTCCTAGATGAGCACTCAACATTGAAAGCCCCAGACTGACCCATGTCATCCCACAGAGTAATTTCTCATTTGACCAAAATGGCTGAAATCCATTTTAATATCCAGGAAAACTGGCTGACCCAGCTACTTTGTAAACTGGAATCCTGCTGAAAACATACATAGTTCCCTCAGCTTTAGCTATCAGAGGCCAGAATGTGACTTCCCCGCAAAAGTACATTCACAAATTAGCAGATCCTGATCTGCCAAGTATGTGAAGACAAGCATCACATTCCCCCCCAAACTTAAAAATGATTGCACTTGGCTTTCTCATTCAATAAGGAATATTTGTTTCCTCCATAAAGAATTGTAAGTGTTGGCAATCAGTACTTCATGCATCTAGGAATTATCCCATGGAATAAAACAAGTTTTTGAAAATAATCTAGTTTTTCTGAAGAATTGGAGTTGGTAAAAAACTGGCCTTTTTTTGCCTAAACTTATTATATTTCTCAGTGCATGTTGCCTTTCAAAGGAGTCAGGTTCAAAGGCTGTATTTACCCATGCTATACTGCAACAAATATTTTTGGAATTCCTGTTTTGGGTTATATAATTTGCACAACAGATTCAGTGGTAAGACCTTGATACAAGTGGTTGTATCAAGTGATGTTTATGTCTAGATGCAATCTTAAATTTGAGTGTCTTTTGCCTATTTAAAAATACTGAATGCAGCCTCAAAAAAGTGGATATTTGGCACCATTACAAACAAACAAATGGACATATCACAGGCTCTGAAGATAATTCTTCAATGAAATTCAAAGAATTTTTTGATTAGTGGAAGTACTGTTAATGAATGAGGTCATGGGTGACCACCCTTGAAGAGAGAAATAACTCTCCTCAGCTATTTATTACAGCTCCAACAAGTGTGTAAGTGGTACAGTAAGAAGAAGGTATGCCCAAACTAAAGCAAAGCCACAAATGCAAATCTCAGGTGTAAAATTCTACCCCAGTCCACACACAAAAATCACAATAATGATTCCCTCAGCATCCTCAACTTACTTTGGTACCTCTCCCAGTTCTCCAAAACTCAATCGTGTTCTGCTCAAGTCATCCTGGACAACAGGAGGAGAATGCTCTACAGACATGAAAGGGGACCACTCCCAAATCAGGAGCCCATGAGACCAAAAGTCACAAGGTGCTTATGAGTCTGCCCCATTTATCACTGCTGTGCTATTTCTGAAGAAGACAGAGGAATTTCAACACCTTCTACCTCAGATATTATCTGCAGTCTCTCGGTTCCAAGCCTGACACCCTTTTGTGGTCTTCTCTGTAATTCTGCCATTGGGAGTCTACAGACTCCATTCCCAGACCCCTCTGCCTGCTGTCTTCTGTTTTTTACTACCATTCTTTCAGTAACAACAGGTTACTATGGTTCAGACTTTTTTTTTTTTTTGACACTTCCAGCACCATCCTGCAACAGTTGCACCTTGGTCCTCCTAAGTACTCCTCAGTTCTGGTAACACTTCTAGTGCATTCTTCCACTTGCTGCCACATTTCTGAGGCCAATAGCTATTCACTCCAGTTTTCTAATACCTGGGTATCTATTTCCATAGAAAAGTCCATTTTCCTGATTGGAGCCTGACGAATTCACCTTCCAAATGGGTCTCTTCAAAGCAATCAACCAATCAAAATAAATTTCAGTGGCCACGTTAAGTGCCAACTATTTGTAAGGAAGTGATAACACACTTTAAGAAAACAAAGATAGGAGCAAGTTCTCTCAGGTACAATTATCTTCTTTCAAACTTCATTTTGAAATAAATTTTCTTTTTGCAGAGTTTTTGAAGTAATGAGTTCATGCCAGGGTTTCCTGTTTGGTTTCTACAACTTTAACTTGTTCCGGAAGGTTCCGAAGGAAATGGTTTCTTGACAGTCCAGTGGGCCTTTTCTACTTAATAACATATCCACACAGGAGGCCAATGATTACAACTTCATCATAGAGAAAATTGTGTTTGTTGAGCCATTACCATGCATTTCCCACTCCCAGGGAACCTGGAGAGCACCCAGATGGCTGGAGCTGCTCCAGGCATGGCCTGCACATTCAGAAGTTCTCCCGTGATGGAACAGCTGATGCTTTTGTACGTTTCACTTTCTCTTTTCCCCCAACAGAAGGAATCACATCTGTTTTTAATGTCCCCACCCCCACATGAATCTGGAAGCAAAGGTTATTGCTTCCATCTGATAAAGACTATCAACCAGTCAGGTATGGTAGCTTCTATTTATGGCAGACATACTACATACAGGCTAGTATTGTACATATGGTTCTTATTACATTAATGCTCACAAATCACTTCCATTTGATAGATGAATAAGGCAGCTCTATCTTACATCCTAATGTAGGAGCATTTACAGATGTCAGGACACAAGAGGGATTTGTTTTGCAGCTGTAGAATTCACAATAATGAAAATGACTGTATACCTCTTAAAATCCCAAGATGGATTACAGAGGACAAGTTGCAGGATCCTTGGCATAGAGAGAGGAGGATTATTAAAAGGGGTTGTCCTGTAAGTACCAACAGCACATAAGAGAATGGCTTGGAGAAGCTGTCTCTTATGTGGGATGCAGATTCCACAAAGAATACAGCTCTGTAGTTGTGTAAGAAAATACCGGTCAAGGATGGGCATAGTGGTGCATGTCTGCAATCCCAGCAATTTGGGAGTTGGAAGCAGGAGGACTGAAAATTAGAGGACAGCCCAGGCAAAGTTAGTGAGACCCTATTTTGAAAACAAACAAACAAAAAAGGGCTAGGGGAGTGGTTCAAGTGGTAAGAGTACTTTCCCAGCATGTGTAAGGCCCTGGAGTCAATTCCCAGTACTGCCAAACAAGCAACAATGAAACAAAAACAGCCATGTTGTTCTTTACTTCTTCTTGAAATTGTCAGTATGTGAATATATGTTTTTTGAGGGATGCAATATATTTGAGTAGTAATTTATTACTGTGGAATGACTGTATTATTGAACTTAATTCTTTATATCTTCCTGTAGCCAAGGTCTTTGCCATAAACTTCACAGTGATTTCCTATTATGGGTGGAATGAGTTAAATGGCCCCTTGACTGAGTGTGGCCATGTGACTTGCTTTGAACTGAGCAAATATGACAGAAGCGATGCAATGTTTGCATGATTAAGCTTGTGCTCTCCCTCTTGCCTTCTGCCATGACCACAGATTCATGTCCATAGGAGGATGAGGGACACGAAGTCCAGTCTGTACTCCTCTCCCCAACTGTCATCCAGCTGAGCCTCAGACAAGCGTGAGTGACACCTAAGGAGAACAACCTTCCAGTGAAACCTGACTAAATTACTCATTTTTAAATTTATGTATGAAATCATTGCTTGATGTTTTAAGCCACTGAGTTTTGAAGTAGTGTGTGATGAATCACCATTATAGCAATAAATAATTTATGTTATTTACAAATACTAAATACACATTTACCTTGGGTTTGTGCTCAATATTTTAAAATTATGAGATGTATGATTAATAAAACACCTGATGACCACTAGACCCATTTCCCAGATTTGTATGGCTGTTTAGCCATCTGTATTTAGGTCAGTTTCTTCTCACTGTTCAATTTTTTCTCAGTTCTGAGCTGGGGATGTGACTCAGTGGTGGAGTATCTGTTTAACAGGCCCTAGGCTCTAGGTTCAGTTCCTAGCACTGTAAGCGTTATCTCAATGTCATCATCTCCAAGAGGGCTTCTCTCACTCTGCCATCAAAGAAAGTCTCTCTCTATCTTACTATCCTACAGAAGACATACCAATATCAGAAATTATTTATCTTTTTCCACTAGAATGTAAGCTCCACAATGGAAACACCTTCGACCTTCCCCCCACCCCTCAGAAACTTCTCAGTAAGTGAATAAGTTGGATTTTTGTGAGTTCTATGGGGAATTTGTCCTAATATTTCGCATCTTTTCACTTTACATCTAAGAACCAAGACATTTTATCTATATTGTCTTGACAGTAGTTTTTCATCCTTGCTTTAGGAAAACAAGAAACTTTAGTATACAATATGCAAGGTAATCAGAGGTACAGAGAAGAACTGGATTAATGATATCAGTTCTAGAAAATTCAAGGGGAATTTCTCCTATTATGTACATAGATTTGCTTAGAAAACATACAAGTTATCACTTATAATTATTTGTACTGGTTTAAATTTCAGAATAAAATGAACAAAGGTCAATGTAAGGTTGATAAATAGGAAGTCTGCAATGTGTAAAACCTGGTCTGTGCGAACAGTATTTGTTAGAGACGATAGCCATCAAAAGAAAACTGAAAACCCTCAAGTTGGTAAAAGCAATAGTTGGTAAAATGTGTTATAGATAAAAACTGAATGGTGGTTCGACTATTGCTTTAAATTTAAAGAAAACAATAATTTTGAGTATCATGATCACAGTTAACAAAAATGGATAATTCAAAAGTTTTAAGCTTCACTGTACATTAAACAGATTAGGAAATTAAGAGGGTCAGTGGACTTAAATCCAATATTAAATAACAATTCTAATAAAATATTCATGTTAGTATACAAAAGATTAAGACAAGTACTGTGAGTTGAAACTAGCATGAAAGAGTCCACTGGGTCCAATGCCTACATTTGCTAGCCTTTTAATATATTTGGATGAATGAAAATTTGACTATAAAACTTTGTATTCTATCATTGCCTTCCTGTTTTAGTCACCTCCAAAGTAAATGTCATTTGCTAGGGACAAATCATCTTCCATAAGCTCCATCTGTACACATGGTTTATCTACTATGGTGATGACCTTTCGTCACTTGGAATATGATCAGAGGAGTGCCATATCGCTAGCTCATTTGGAAGAGCCTAATATCAGCCTGTCATTGAAGAAACCTCCCAAGTCCTGGGTACAGAGGAGTCCTCTCTGCTTTCATGGGAAGGAAGACTCATTGAACTGTGGAACTCTACATACCCAATCTTCTCATTTCAAGATGTGGAAAGCAAGGAGAGGGAATAATGAAGTGAGGTTTCACAATTAGTTCTTCAGAGTCACAGTCAATCATGGGAATATGTGAAACTAGAACCTGGTTCTATCATCAATCTTCCATCACACTGCACTACACTGTTAGCAGCCCTGGGTCGATTTATCTCAGAATTTCATACCATCCTGTGGGTTCTGAATTACCCAAGGTTAATGTTGCAAATATCTGCCTCTTTTTTTAAATATTTGCTTAATGTCTTTAAAAGCATTACAATATACTTTTAAAAAGAAAAATAAGGAAAGAATATATCCAATTATTTCCCTTACATGTCAGTTTATTTGTTGATCTGAGTAAATGGTTAGCATTTACTTCCAGGGCATACCAGATACATAGAGATATTTCAGTAAATGGCATAAATGATCATAAAAAGGGAAATACTAGAGAAAACAATGGCAATAACTAATACATTAACCGTATAGATTAGGCAAGGTGTGCAAAAGAACTAAAGCTCAAAAGAGACAGCGCTGTGTGGAAAGAGCATGGATTTTGGAGTTTAACAGGTTTAGATGGATCTGCAATCTCTAGCTGTGTGATTATACTCAAACTCTGTACCTCAATCCCTCTGGTTGTAAAATGGGCTGATTATAAACAGTTCTGAAAGAATTTTAGTGACATTAGAATTACTTTCATTCAGTTTCATCTTTCCACACTCAGATTTAAGTAGAACCAGAGTCAGTGGGATATTAGTTAGGATTGACATTGTTCAGCCAAATCTTACCTCCTTCCCTACCCAAGTCTACCCTATCCTTCAAAAGCTGAAGCTATTTCCTATTTGTCTTCTTAAAAAGAAACAGTGATCATAACCACTTCACAGGGTTGTGTTACTAAAATGAGATAAGCTTTATAAACCATTAAGGACATTGGTAATAAACAATATTGATGGTGACGTGAAACATCCCACATCCAGCAACAATCAATATTTCTTAAAATTCTAATGCCAGGCTGGGGGCATGACTCAAGTGGTTGAGTTCTTGTCTAGCAAGATCAAAGAGCAGAGTTCAACTCCCCACCCACCTTAGTCCTCTTTCCCCCCCTAAAACCTGCCTGTCAAGGGTTCTAAGACTAAATCTGGATTTTAAGATTCTTAGGAACAAGTCGAATTCAGCTACTTTGAGACTACAGTGTCTATGTCTTTCCAAGTCTTTAGCATCTACCCCATTTTTGTTAGCTGGAAGCTGCAAGAGGATGAAGAGAGTAGGGTCCTTTTGCAGGGTGAGAGAAGGATTAGGAGACAGCTACCTCCAGGTAGTGGGAGGGGGAATAGATGCAGAAAGAACCCTGACGGCCATGGTACTCACCGCGGCCCACCACCAGGCATGGAGGATACTGGTGAAGTTGGTGCCAGGCACATCGTGCTCCACGGAGTAGACAGCCGCTGAGAAGGCAAAGATGCCCATGGCGATGAAGAGCATGAGGCAGCCCACCTGCTGGTAGCACTGACGCAGCGTGAAGCCGAAGGCGCGCAGGCCGGTGGAGTGGCGCGCCAGCTTGAGGATGCGGAAGATGCGCATGAGTCGCATGATGCGCAGGACCTGGCCCACCTTGCCCACGCGGCCCACCGTCTCGAGGTCGTGTTCCCGTGGTGAGCCCTTGCCGTGCCGATGGTCCTCACTTGTGAAGCACTCTAGCAGTAGCTGCAGGTAGAATGGCAGAATGGCCACCAGGTCCACCAGGTTCAGGACGCTGCGTGCGAAGCGTCGCAGGTCGGGCGTGGAGGCGAGACGCAGCAGGAACTCCAGTGTGAAGAAGGCCACGCACAGCATCTCCACGTGCTCCAGGATGGGCTGCGGGTCGCCGCCACCTGTTCCCTGCTCCGCCTGGTGGTGCATCTCCTCCACGGTGTTGAGCGCCAGCGCCACGACAGAGATGAGCACGAAAAGGTTGGAGGCCACCCCCATGGCCTTAGCGGCCACTGATGAAAATGGCTTTTCCATGAGATTCCAGAGACGGCGGCGCTGTGGCCCGTAGAAGCGCATGTCACTGAAGAGCTCCTCGGCCTCCTCGGCCTGCGCCTGGGCGCGCAGCTCTCGCTGGATCTTGAGCTGCTCGCTCAGCTCGTCCCGCCGCTCCTCGAAGCAGATGCGACAGCAGCGCGGCGTGTACTTGAGGCGCACGCCCCAGTACCCCAGCTCCTCCAAGAAGCTGCGGGGACACAGCTCATCGAGCACCAGCAGCACCCCGGTTGTGTAGAAGTTGTAAATGAGCTGGAAGACAGCCGGGTCACGGTCAAAGAAGTATTCATCAGTCTGTGCCTCGTAGTCATCACATAGGCCCAGCTGGCGACTGCGGCTGGTGGAGGTGGCCAGGCGGCCCAGGCGTGTCTTGGGGTAGCTAGCTAGCTCGCAGTAGTCCAGTTGGTAGCTGTGACCACTCACGTTCACTTTCAGCATGGAAAACTGGGTTGGGGTATCAGTATGACCATCTGGCTGGACAGGTGTGACCTCTTCTGGCTGCTGATCCTCCTTGTTGGCAAGGTCTCCCTTCCATTCTTCGTCCTCCTTGCCATCCTCATCCTCCTCAATGTAGTAGTTATAGTTGCCCTGGGTCCACGGTATGATGCTGGCCTGGGAGCCAGAACGAGTCCCCATGGAGCAGATGCTCCTGCGGTGTTGGCTGTTGACTGTATCGTACACATCTTCACTCTCTGGAATACTCCAGGGCTTGGAGTTCCAAGAATGTCTTCTCTCGTTGCTCTGTTTCAGCATGGCTGTGGGAGTCCGGCCCCTTACTTGTCCCTCCTGACTGTCACTTGCAGGAGGAATCACATGTTCTGCACTGTCTAGGAGAGACCAGCATACCTGGGGTTCCAGGCATTGCCCTCAGTGTTGAAGCTCTTGAGGCCCTGGGAAGCCCAGCCCAGTTTGCCAGGTCTGAAAACAATCAGCAGAGCTGTGTTGACTAATCTTGCTGATGGGGTAGAAGCAAGGGTTAGGAGGGATTTGGGGCCTCTTAGCCCATCCCCTTTCCCTCCCCCTCTACTCTCTGCCTTGGAGATGATTATGTGGTCTTAAATCTCCAGATAATCACAAGAAGGCAGAGATTATTGCTAATAAAAATGTCGGTCAGCCTTGCCCTTAGGAAGTGTTGGGGGGAGGGGAGCGGACTGAGATAAAAATCGAATTAGCTAAAGAATATGGACATCTAGTGTCTTCATGCTTAATGACTGAGGTTGTAGCCTCTGCCCTAGATAAACCCACCATGAACAGGAATGACAAAGAGCAACAGAATGCTGGCTTCAGAAGTCAGTTTCCCTCTCATTTGAACTCTTTGTTTAGATCCTGTAAGATCTTAAACAATCCCCTTCCCATCCATTCACATGGTCACATTTTCCCATGTGGATTTTCCTTTCCAGCACCACTCTGGACTTCAGTCAAATCTTTAAGTTTGTCAGCTTCTCTCTTTCTTTCTCCTCTCTTTCTCTTAAAAGATTAATGACAAATTTCAAGGTGGAATCCCAGGATTGGTTGAAAGAGATTTTTTAGGGCTTTGTTTAAAGGTGATCAGACTTCCTTCCAAGAAAAGGGTTTTTATCATACTTCAAAACATCACTTAAAACAAAACCCTCTGTTAAGACATAGTTCTAATACTGGAGTTGCAAACATGACAGAGACACAGTCACAGCACTGAAGGAGCTCATGGCTTTGTTTTGTTTTGATGATGTAACCATGCAAGGTGAACAAAAGAACAAGTGAAAATAATAGATGTAATAGAGAAGAAAGGGATTTGTTCCAAGCAGAGAATTGATTTGTTTTCATTTGTTTTGAATAGCTAATACATAGTCATGATAAAAATGGAGAAGATACAAAGGCACATATGCACATTACAGTAGAGTTTCTCTCTCTCTCTCTCAGCCCTAACCTCTAGCTATCAGGAGTGCTTCCAAGAAAACAACCAATTACTATTTTCTGAATATCCTTCCAGTAATATTCTAAACATACAAGCAAAACTCTACCTATTTCCCTCTGTCATGTAATTAGCTATTACCAGCACAAGTCATAGAATACTATACATGTTACCTTTTCTAGTTAATCATTTATCTTAGTTATCATTTATCTATCTGAACACAAGTATTTGTCTCATTTTGAAAACAGCCACTTAGCATTGTAGTAGTGATAGACAATCAGGTTGTTTTCTATCTTTGCTTTTGTAAACAATGGAACAATGAATAATCTTACACATGTATCACTTCACAGGTGTTCAAGATATATGAAGGATAAGTTGTTAGAGGTAGAATTACTAGGTCAAAACTGCACATTTATAATTTTGATAGATAATGCCAAATTTCCCTCCATAAAAGGTGTATCAATTTACAACTTGCCATCAATGAATGAGAATGTATTATCACACTTTTTGGACTATGCCAGTTTTAGATGTGAAAATGCTATGCAGGTTAATTTTAATTTTTTGCTTTGTTTTTTGTTTTTTTGGTACTGGGGCTCCAACCAGAGCCTCACACATGCTAGGCAAGTGCTCTACCACTGAGCCACATGCCCAGCCCTGATTGTCTCAGGAATGTGATTGAGCATTTTATTATGTGATTAAGAACTGTTGTGCTCCTTTTTCTTGGAATGATCTGTTCATGTTTTTTGCTGTTTTTTCCACAAATTGCTTTTTTTTTTTAGTGATTTGTAGGAAAGCTTAATATATCATGGAAACAGATTCTTCACCTGTGATAGGGATTGAAAAGATTGTTTTGTAAGCATATCCATGGACAATTTTTATTTCATTCCTTCTGGATGTTGTGTCATAGTAAGAAAGTATTTATTATACTGTAATTCTTAATTTTTTTCCTTACATTTTTTTCTTTTCACATTTAAACCCACCAGGAATTAATTTGGTTGTAAAGAGTGAAGTAGGGACTCAACGTTCTATCCCTAGTTTTCATCTGGATGTCCCAACACATTAATTGAATAATCCATCTTTTTATTTATAGTGGTATCTCTGTCACATAGTGGTTCTAATAATGACATAATTGTTTTCATGTGTTGCATAAATTTGTTTACTTTTCCCCTTCTGAACTAATTATACTATTATAAAAAGTAAAGCATCATATTTTTAATTTCCCCTCTTTCTACTGAAATAATATACAACTAAATCTTTCAACACTTCTCAAGGCAACTTGAAAATTATGGAATTGTTAATGTACAAATACCACACCATGCAGTACTGAGGACTTTTGCCTTGGTAGACTACACCGTAGTGCTTGTTACATACCTAATACATTTACAGGTTGTGGGCATGTTGCTTGGATTTTGCTCTTAACGTGTATGTCTGTAAATGTTAACAGCAGATGAGTGTCTGTATATGGAAACACTATAATAAGAGAATTGTCCAGCAATGGAATGGAATGGTTTATCAGTGGGAGCACATTTTTAAAGTTTTTTTCATTATTATTGGATTGGGGGTACATTGTGACATTTACAAAAGTTCTTACAGTATATCGTAGTTGAATTCACCCCCTCCATCATTCTTCTTTATCTCTCCCCCACCCCATTCCTGGAATAGTTTCAGCAGGCCTCATTTTTCCACTTTCATACACGAGTACATAATATTTCTACCATATTCTCCCTCCTACACCCTTTCCTTATATCCTCCCCCACCCCACTGGTGCCAACCCCCAGACAGGATCTGTTTTTATCGTCCTATTCTCCAGTTTTGGAAAAAGACATTTTTGTTTGTTCAAGGTAGCTGTACAGGATGTTTCGTTGTGACATTCCCATGTATATGTGTATTATAACATGAATTGTTTCAACCCCTTTATTTTTCTCCTTTCTACCTTAGTCTCCTTCTTATGGTGATTTCAACAAGTTTAAAAATTCTGCGTTCTTTCTTCCATAGAAAGTAGATCAACCATATTCACCTTCTTAACTTCCTTTTTTTCACTCTCTGTCTCCCATTAGTGACCAAGTGGGAGCAAATGTGAGCACACTTCAGAAAAGACCTGTACCAGGTGACAAATAGTACTGGATGAACTTCAGGCCTCCTTTTGCCTTTTAAGTACTAAGAATTTAAATCTTTGTTTGATGTGTAATTTGCTTTGAATTCTTCTCTTCTCCCCAAACCCTTTGTCGGCTCAGACATGATCCTTCTCTTTCAGTGATTGTTCTGTGAGATCTCTCTGTGTCTCTCCAAGGTGGATTAGCTTCCCTTTCTCAGTGTTCTCACTTACAATAGTGTATACTTAACTGGAGAGCATAGATTGGGAGGATCAGAGTTGGAGGCAAGCACAAGCAAAAAGTTTGTGAGACTCCCTATTTCAACAACACAAGCCAGACATGATCATGCATATCTGTAATCCCAGCTAGACAGTAGGCATAGGTCAGAGGATCATGGAATAAGACTTGCCTGGGCAAAAAGTGTGAGATTCTATCTGAAAACCAAAAGCAAAAAGGGTTATGGACATGACTCAAGTGGTACAGCAAGTTCAAGGTCCCAAGTTCAAACTCCAGCACCGTAAAAAAAAAATGAAGAAAGATAATGATTACCACTGGCCAACACTATGAGACATTTGTTTTAACAAAGATGAATTTAAAAATTTACTATATTAAAGTTACATAAGTACATTACAGAATAATTTAAAAACAGAGAGCAGACTACTAATGATTGGTGTAACATTAATAGTAACTAAAATGCCCAGACACTGTACTGTGTTAATACTTACACCAACCAACCAACCTGTAGAGTAGATGCTGCTGTCACTCGAGATGAGACACCCGAGACATAGAAGTGAGGTGCCTGTTTCACAGTTGCTTAGCTAGAATGTCATTTCCGGCATTATTATTTGCTAACTCAGGTGAGCACCTTTGCTTTAACCAATCCCATTTCTCTGTTCCCCACTAGCCTCTAAAATCCTCAAGAGTAAAGGTAGTCTGGCCTCTGTGGCCCCAGCACCAAGCAGTGGGCTTAGCGCACAGCAGATTTTTAAAACATTGAACATTGATTGCTCTGTATTACTTCTTAGAACTGCGCGTGAAACTATGAAGATTTTAAAAGTCCTAAAATATTCATTGCTCTGCATCGACACAGTCCCAAGCTTCACTTTAGAGGAAAGACAGGTTGTAAGTCCTGAGCAAGAGTGGCTTGGAGTCCTACCTGCTTTTTATTAGTGACAGAACTCTATAGACAGAATGGTCCAGTAGAAAGAGCACTGGAATGCAAACGGGTTCGATTTTGCTTTCTGTTTTTAAAGATTTGCTTCTTATTCCATTTTCTCACCTGTAAAATGGGCTACTGGAAGGTTTCCTGCTAATATCAAAAGAGAATGCCCCTCCACTTTATCTTTATTTGGCTCACCTGGCATAGATTAGGTACTTGTCAAAAGATACGTCACCTCTCCCTCATCTAGCACCTCAAACCTTGATTGTACATCTACAATGCATAAATATGTTCATTTTCAGCACCTGTAGAGTTTCCAACAGATACAATGCTCACATTTGCAATCTTACATTAGAATAAATTCTTTTATGTTAAGCCAGCACCAACTAATAGAATTTCCTATACTGTTAGAAATATTTTTAATGGCTTAAAACATGACACTGAGGAGTGGAATGTTGTATTTTGTTTATTTTAAATTAATTTAAATGTAAACATCCACACATGACTAGTAGCAATATCAACATTTGCATTATCATGAGAATTAAGTATTATCTGGGATAGGATCTATCTCTTCTAAGGAACACTGCACAGGAGCCTGTTACTCCAATGA